CAGGCATGCTTTCATATGCTTGTCCCAAGGTTTGAGATGACCCACAGTGGCCTTAAAACTAATGCACGAACCCTATGCTTACTGTTGAGAAGTCAAGGGTGAAGAGTGAGCTGAGAGATATTGAATATCTGTCCTACCATTGAGAAAGTGGCATTGGAGTTTTCCTTCAGCTGTTTTTGTTTGCGGTATGTCTGAATTCAAACAAATGGGATTCTCTTAACCTTTGATATATGACAAGAGTTCCAAAGGGGAGAAATTAACTGATTATTCATAGCGCAATGGAACACTTTTTTTTATTAAACAACAACAGTGTAAAGAAACAAACAACTCTATTCCACTAAATCTATTTTTACTCATCTTTTTAAATCTCTGAACATGGTCAATTTTCATCACTATTCTACTGTCAGGCCAAAAAAAAAAAAAATCCTTTACACTACCTATTTTCCTGCATCATCAGAACACTAAATTCCCTTGCAGAAACTTACCTGGAGTCAGGGTTACACATGGGGAAGTGGTACAGGAGGAGGTAAGAGAGACAGGCCTAGGACTAGAGCAAGGCTAGAGTCTTAGATTAGTTCAACTCTGTCCTTAGACTAGCCACTTAGTATGAATTCCACTATATTTTTCTATAAAATGGGAATAATAATAATAATAGCTAGTCACACTAATTCTTCCCATATCCTTTATCAGAACGAAATTCACAAGCATCTACACTGTCTTCCAAACTGGATCTCAATATTTCTTGATTTTTTTTCTTTCTCGTCCATCTCATTCAATAGACAGGGTATCAAATCATATGAATTTTACAGAAAAACCTAATAATGGCGAAGAGTTAAGTAATTAGGAATTAAATAACTTTTGAATCCAATTAAATGGAAAATATATTCTTTACAATATATTGACTGAAAACATATTGATGACAAACTGATTTGAATAAAGAAAAAACAACAACGATGTAGTAGAGAGAATTTGAAAGGGTAAACTAGTCCCATTCCTCTGGATAGTTTTAAGAATATATGAAATCCTACCTAGACATTTTACCTTAGAATAAACAGCAATTTGATATAAAATCCAGAAAAGAAAAAAATGCAATAAAAAATTTAAATTTTTATCAAATATCTGTGATGGAAGAAAGGAGTTTAGATTCAATAGAAATTTCACGTTAGGAAATATGGAAAATGTTGATTGATAAAATTTTTAGATTACTGTATAATTACATAATTATATTAGTGGCACCATTAAAAGAAAAAGTGGATGGAGAAAATTTAGTAATCAATATGATAAAAGATTACAATATTTTCCATATGAAAAGAAATAAACATTGATGAGAAAATACAACATTGAGCAATTTCAACCTAGCATCCCTCAGAAAAATATAGATCTGTCCTTGTATTTGGCATATGGTTCAAACACTTGATTTTTATAGAATTTTTTTCTAACTTGCTATTTTTTGGACCAGCTAACATTAACAGTGGGCACTACATCCTCCAATGAACAACAACTGTAAACCCATTTTAATAGAGAAATACTGAAGAAGGGTACAAATTTCCACTTTTCTGAGGATTTAAAGTAAAGGATGCACAGCTATCTGCATGCATGCACTTTACACTCGTGAGTCTGTTCCAAAGAAAAGAGAAGGGATGGTATGGATGAATCCTTGGACCTTGCTCAAGCCCATAGCCTACGAAATTTTTTCTTCGTTTAGGGAAAGATTTTTAATTAGAGGGGGTTCACAGAATTCAATCCATGATTAGAAAAAATTACAAAATGTCCCAGCATATCTCATTGTTTTTGGAGATAATAGAGTGAGCTGTGCCCAGGAGAACCTAAGGGAATGTCCTGTTTACGTAATCCCTCAGGTACTCATCATTCCTCTCAGACAAAGATTCAGCCAGTATTGGTGCTCAAAAAATGTATTTACTTCATACAAGAACACAGTCAAAGTTTGGAACGGAAGCCACTGATATGTCCAGTTCATGCCCAGCTGTCAGGAGAGAGGACTGACAATCGCCAGGATCCAAAACCCAACTCTGGATCTGCAGCTTGCATCTCTGGATCTCACTCTGCTATACTCACCGTGAGGTCCCCTCGCCTGTAGTTCTCTATCTCTAGAACAGACTCATCCTAGGCATCCAGGTAAGAAGAAGGAAGATACAGAAGCGACCAAGTCTCACCATAACCAGAAATCATAAGTCTATTTTGGGAGATGGACCCTCCTTATTTTTACAACCCATAGTCTATTTGGGAGAGGAGATTTTTCCTTTTCTCTCCTCTCTAGATTCCTCAGTCTTAGAAATCTTGCTATTGGGCTCTTCCTGAGGGGGTCAGTTTGTGTGCTGAGAGGCCTAAGAAATCCAAAGATCTGTTGTCTCTCAAACTACCTACCCCTAAGTACAGAATCTTCCTGTACTCTGACCTTTCGTCCCTGTTATAATGGATGTTCTCTTCCTCCTTCACTTCTCCCACACTTTCTCTTGGTGATACCCTGGACTCACAGGGAAATACTTAGGATGTAAGACAGAGCTTCTTGCAACTTGCCACCCATTGCCCGGGAGGTAGGAAGGAGCCAGAGCTCAGTGAGTGCTAATGTTGAGTGTGTGGGCACTCCCTGCCCCAGTACCCTAGTTTTCAGGTTGGTACCACATTGCATATACTCTCCCTGGGGCTAAGAATGAGCAAGAGAACAGGATTGCATATTGAAGTTCTGTTCCTATTTCCATTGGAAAAGCAGCCACAACTGATGTCCTCTCACCTGCACCAGTAGTCCAGGTGATCATACCTTGTGTTTCTGCTTCTGATTGGTCACAGGATCTCCTCATTCCAAGGATATCATGAAGCTGGACCAGCATCAGCTGTGCCTTCCAAACTGTATACTGTGCTTTAGATAGGATAATTAGTGCTTGGGAGTATTTGAGTGTGTATGTGTGTCAGTGCCTGTGCGTGTGAATGGAGTATGCTTATTCCTGGATGCATCCAGTTACTCATTCATTAATTCTGTCAGTCAGTGGACGTTTCTTGTAAATTTACTGTATGCTAAGTGATGCAGACATATGGAGTGAGTTAGGATTACTACCCTGAAGAAATGTAGAACCATGTCCGGAAGACAGCCTTGTAAAGAAATAATCATGAATAAATTACTAAGAACCTTAAAAAGCTTATTATTATATATGTGTCAAAACTCATCAAATTGTATACATGAAATATGCACAGTTCATTACTTGTAAGTTTACCATGATAAAGCAGTGAAAAAATGCACTTATCAAAAATTATTGGAAAATGAGATCAGTAATGCATTGTTTTGTTGATGTCCTTAGGAACTTTTTACTTATATCAGTATTCTTTTTCAGGATTTTGATAACATTTACATTGAACACAGTCTACATTGTAACCTAGTACACACAATACCCCCACACACACACTCACACACAACACATACACAGATAAAATTGAAACAAGTGTTTTCTGACTATACTTAGATTATACAAGAGATGATATTTTGTTTTATATTTCAGTTTTAGTAAATACTGGTGGCAACTCACTAAATCTATTTCATTACCCACTAATGTGTTATAAATCACACCTTCAAAATCACTGACTTAAGAAAGATCTATTTTGGCTATTGAGGTTGCAGACTTCATTAGTGATCCTCTTGTATCTTCTCCTTACACTGTATCTAAAGGGAATATGTTTTTCTTTAAATTTTGCCAATCCCTCAAAGTATTCCCTGACTCTGCCTTCTTGGTCCCTCAAGGCTAATGGACCCTACTGTAGGTTCAGGCTGGACTCACTTCATTTCCATCTGGATGAAAATTCATGAATAAAAATCTCACTGTTACCCACTGGCCTTGAAATCAAGTCATACTTGGCGGCTCATGAGCCAGTGGTCCAACAACAACTGATCTGACCACACTTTTCCTATATTGCCAGCTGGATCTAGGGTCTTACGTGTGAAAACAAATCCTCATATGTTTGCAATCTTGGACTTCCCTCTAGCTCAAGATTGCCCTGCCAGAGGGGCTGACTTTCACCTCTGACATCTCCTTTCTAACGGGCACTTCTAGGACTAGTACGTCAATGCTTCCCGGGAATATCAGACTGCAGCCCTGAGTCCCAGCAGTTTGCCCAGGACCCTGCTCCCTTCCTTAACTCTTTCTAATCTTCTTCCCCATTAGCTTGGGTTCAGCCATGCTATTCTTTGCTTGTTCCTGATGTACAGTAATGCACAGACTTTTAAGAGTGTTTCGTGCCTGGCTTCAAAGCATTGGACCATTGCCTGATTTCATATTGATGCACCTATCCAACTGGTTGGATGTTCTGATACAAACGGGTAGCATGAATGAGCTCAAAGACTGTTGTGCCAAATAAGACATTGCAGCTATGCAGACAACTATTGCAGCTGCATTCGGAATCCATGAGGGCCCCTCCTTACTTCCAAAGTGTGGTGCTGCCTAAATCTGGCCTCGTCTCAACTGTCTTGGCTCTGTGATAATAAGGTCCCATCATGATCTACTCTTCAGCACTGCCATCGAGTCTTGATTCTCTGATCCAGTGAAGGATTTAGGAAAGGACCAGGACTTGGACTATAACATAATGTAAAATGGTCTCTTAAAATTCCCTTCCTGCTTGGAAGGATGATGAAGGATCCCTTGAAAGCACAAAGGAAAACTTAATTATTGGTTCTGCTCCATGAAGAAATGAAAGTGATAGTCTGCTGACTAAAAAGTAAACTAGAAAAAGAAAACGCTAGGCTTTCTACTAAAGGCAGAACTCTATATTTTTTCAAATCCGTGTAATATGTTAGCATCCTTTTCCCAATAGCTTGAATAGGAACATAGGGATGGAAATTTTAGAAAATCAAGTGTCTTAAATGTTGGCAATATATATTTTTTAATCGAATACATTTGTTCTTGCAGTGAGATCTTCACCTTCAGGATTTGCTTCGTTATAGTCAACTTTTGATTGTTCTATTTATGCTCATGTGTAGACAGAAATAAACCTGAATGGGCACAGAAAACCAAACCTATTTGACTGAATTCATCTTGCTGGGGCTTTCCTCAGATCAGCAGACCCAGATCCTGCTGTTTGTGATATTTCTCATCATCTACCTGCTAACTGTGTTTGGGAATCTGCTCATCATAGTGCTAATTCATGTTGACTCTCAACTTCATACACCAATGTACTTTTTCCTTAAAAACTTATCATTTACTGATCTCTGTTTCTCTACAACAATCGTCCCCCAGATGCTATTCCATTTGTTGGTAATGAGAAAGACCATTTCCTTTGCTGGGTGTTCCATTCAGATGATTGTGTTCCTAGTAGCTGGATGTACAGAGAGTTCCCTCCTAGCGGTGATGTCCTATGACCGCTATGTGGCTGTTTGTAAGCCTCTTCACTACTCCACCCTCATGGTCCCCAGAGTTTATGTCCAGCTGGCCATAGGATCTTGGGCCAGTGGAGCATTCGTGTCTCTAGTAGACACAACATTTACTTTATGTGTCTCATACCACAGACAGAGCATAATTAATCATTATTTTTGCGAACCTCCTGCACTCTTGAAGTTGGCTTCAGAAGAAACCTACAAAGCTGAGATGGCCATTTCTGCAATGGGTGTGGTAATCCTCCTTGGTCCTCTCTCCCTCATCCTTTTCTCCTACTGGAATATTATCTCCACTGTGATTCGGATACAGTCAGGGGAGAGGAGGCTCAAGGTCTTTTCTACCTGTGGTTCTCATCTCATTGTTGTTGTCTTCTTCTATGGCTCAACAATATTTACCTACATGCGTCCAAATTCCAAAAAAATGAATGAGGGGGATAAGGTGATCTCCATGTTCTACTCAGTCATAACATCCATGATGAACCCATTTGTTTACAGCCTAAGGAACAAGGATGTGAAGGAGGCCTTTAGGAAAGTATTTGGAAGATAGAGCCTCTCAGAGGCAATGATATTTACATCGATATACAGTTGTGGCAATGAGAACATTCCAAAGTTGCTCAACATCTTTAACAGTTTCTCTCTGAACTATTTCTAGACTGATACATCAGTAAGGGTCATATAAGCACCCTTGTACATCTAGGATATTTTCTAATTTGTCTACTGCATCTTGATCAAGCTTATTCTCTGTGATTGCAGCTTGCTTGCCTCATAAGAGCTTTTTTGCCATTATATTATGTATCATAATATAAATTACGTTTATATATTATATTATACAAATATTTTACAATATGGAACAGGATCTTCATTTATAGTGTGTTATTGGTTTACTAATTCATTTTCACCCAGAGATATTACCTTTTGGTTCTAAATTCCACAGCTGCTTAACAGCCTCGTTCTATGCCAACATCATCTACAACCCTCCATAAATCTTGGACTTCTATTGGATATCAATATGCTAGAATCTATAATTTCCTGTGAAAAAATATAATGATTTTTTTTCTCTGTTGAAGCTCTGGTAAGGAATCTTGTTTTTTGGTTTTTTTTTGTTTCTTTGTTTTTTGTTTTTATGCTGTGAAGTCCCAAAATACTGCTATAGCCAATTCAACCGTACACGGGAGAGCTGTTGGCATAGACAATAATGTGTAGGATCTCATATTCCAGCAAACATCTTTGATATGTCACACACTGATCCTTGTAAGGACAAGTGCTGACTTGAGGTAGTAGAATTGAAAAGCAACCTGCCCACATTAGAACTGACAGGTCAGACACCCCTGTGACACCAAAATTCCACAACTATTCCCCCCTCAAACACGCTCTTCTCTCTTCTGCAGGCTTGACTGTGCGAGTACCCATTAAGTTCTCCTTTTTGGGGAGTAAAAGAGAATGGATGACATATGAGAAGCAATGCCAGAAGATGGAGATTGTTCTGTGGGATGAAATTGTCCCTTTAGTCTTTCCTAGCTACTACTATAACCCTATATTACGGCAGAAGCACGACTGGTGACCCACCTGCAGCTTCTCACCGATGTTCAGCATGTACATTGCTCCTCCCTTAGAAGAAAATCCACTTTTGCCCCTCCCCCACCCTCAACTAAAAGTCTAACTCCAGGTATTAAGTGGAATGGACCCAGCACTTTATTGGTACGTAGGAAAACTACCAATTCCCATCCCTGGTTGCAGGGTCTGTGAGCCTTGAAAACATAGCTGAGGACCATCACTGTCCTGCCTGTTTCCCCCTGTGGTCCTCCATTTCTCCAGGCAGAAATCCCATGACATAAACATATTCCATTTCTTGGTACTTCATTTACCAGACTTACATATATCCCCTGACTGATCCCACCTCATATACTATGGAACCATTTGTAGTGATTTTGTCATATAAAGGTAGTGTTGCTAACCATAGCCAAGCCCTCTTTTCACAAAGAGTATGGGAGCACTTGATCTTTTACTAGGAGCAGTTTCAACCTGGAATTCTACTCTCATTTCATGACCTTCTCATAAGTCATCTACAAACATAGTGACTATGGATGAAGGATGGCATGAGCCAGAAAATGAGCCCTGATAAAAGTTAAGCTTGCCGCATTGACTTCTGGCTGCTCCAGCTCCAACATCTGTGGCCTGTTCTGAGTATCCAAAGCTGTTCATTTTATGTGACAATGTCCTTGCTAAACTGAATGCATTGTGTATAGAATGATTCTGCATGGGACAATAAATGTGTAGCGATACTAGATCCACTGTGTGCACGTGATGTGTATTGTCAGATTATGTGGACTCTCATGCACCTGTACAAGGAAAAAAGGCTGGTCCTGCACTACAGATTCTTTGAGAAGCTGTGTTATAAATACCAGTAACTACTTTTAGACGTGCTGCTGCCTCATGACCATTCGAAAGCTCACATTACCACTTCTTTGTTTGCCATTAAGTATAAGAGAAGTCATATCGCATAAGTGGAATGATCATTGCAAAAGTGGCCATAGAGCACTTTGATTTATATAAACATATGTAATTATCCTCAGTGGGAAACTGGTGGAGTGAACAGGCTAAGAAAACACAGATACTGACATATATTTTTAAATGGAAACACCAGCCTCTGACCGGATGCCAGACTATCAATGACTGTGCAGTAGCAGCTAGATGAATAACAGCATGTGAGAAACTAACAAGCCCTGAAGTCACCACATTCTGGGAACTACACATGTTTTCTAGAGCAAATAGCTTTTCAGTTTTTAAAGGAAATAAATTTTCTTTCATTTATGCCACTGGTTGTATGATTGTTACTTTTGTATTAAATCTACCCATACAACATTGATTTCAATAGCATAGTTTACTTAAGTTCATTTATTCAATGACTATCTAATTCATTTATTAACTAAATATTTATTGACGATTCTTCTAGGTATGAAATATATAGCAATGAATGAAGTTCAAAATTCCTATCCCCATGGAACTTACGTTTTAGAAGAGGGTGAAAAAAGTAAACGAACAAATAAGTAGAACACACAATATGTGTGATGGTAATAAGTGCTATAAGAAAGTAAAAGCAAGGAAACATGGGTTACAATTTCAAGCGGTGGTCAGGAAAGGCCTTTCTGAGAAGGTGATGTTAAAGGACATCTTACTTCTTGGAGAAATTAACATTTGTGCTGTGACCAGCAGGTTGAGAAGAAAGAACCAACCAAGGAGAGATTTGGGAAAAGGGGGTCCAGGTAGAGAGAACAGACAGTCTAAATGGCTTGGAGGGGAGGAAGTTTTTTGATATCAAGACAGAGAAAAGTCAGAGTGATTGAAGGCTGATGAGTGACAGGGAGAGTGGCAATGAATGAGATCACAGAACAGAAGCCAGATCAGCAAGGACTTTGTATTAGTTTCCCAGGACTGCCATAACAACTCATCACAAACTTGTTGGCTTAAAACAACAGGAATTTATTCTTTCACATGTCTGGAGGCCAGAGGTCTGAAATCAAAATATCTGCAGACTCTGGTCCCTCAGAAGGTTCCAAGGGAGGTGCCTTCCTCGCCTCTTCCAGCTTTTGGTGTTCCTTGGCTTGTGGCAGCATCATTCCAATTGTTAATGGATACATACCCGGGTTCTTTACCCTCCACACAAGAAGGGCCAAATAAAAACTGGAACGCCAGGCTTATGGCAAGGAAAGGGTTTTTATTTTGAGTGACATCAGCCAGGAGATAAAAACTCACAAATTTGTCCCATCTCCCAGAAAGATGGGAAGCAAGGGGTTTTAAAGGTTGTGAGGAATGTGGCTGCTTGTTTGGATGGAGACCCTGTGGCCTTGCTGGTCGGGGCTTTCCCATCAGCTTGCGTTTGGCCTTGTGAGGCTGTTGGCAGGGAGGAGGATGGCAAGATAAGGGAATCTCAGGTGGGTGTTCTTCAGCAGTCTCCATGGTGGAAGGTGGGTTCTGGCGCCAGGAAGCCAAGGAGTTGAGGTCTGAGAAGCTTTAGCTTTTTGATATTTTCTAGATATCAGTTTCCCTGTAACCTCAAGAACTGGTAATTAGCTAAAATTTCAAGTGAGCCCAGCTTGAGGTCACCTTGGCTTTTAACAATTTGTAACTTCTATCTGCCTTGTGAAGTTCAGTGATACAAAGGTTTAAAAAACCTGTATTTAGATATGAATGTAACTTAGAGAAGCAGGGAAAGAGGATGACTGCCTTTGGTTTTAACCCCAAGTGTGCTGGGTTTAATGTAGGGGAATTGATATCAGGGCCAGCATCACAATCTCTGCTTCTGTCTTCACATGGCCTTCTTCCCTCTGTGTCTGTGTCTTCCTCTTTTCTTAAAAGGACATCTGTCATTGGATTTAAGGCCCTCCCTAATCCAAGATGAGTTCATCTTGAGGTTTCCCTTAATTACATCTGTAATGTAATTGGACCTTTATTCCAAATAAGGTCATGTTCTGACGTTCCAAGTGGACACATCTTTTTGAGGGAGACAATTCCACCCATTACAACCTTGGAAGTCTTGAAAAGGTGATTGATTTTATTTTATGTTCAATAGAAAGCCATCCTGATATTATGCTTTTAAAAGGGCATTTTGAGTTTTGAATGGAGAGTAGATTGTTAGTAGGCTCACGTGGAAGCAAGAAAAGTAGTCAGTAAGATTGAGCTCTATTGGAGTAGCCCAGGAGAGAGATGATGGTCTTCACTAGGGTTGTAGCAATGCAGAGGAAGAGGAGGTGGTAATACAAGTGGGTAGATAAGATGGATAAAATGAAAAAAGAGAGGAATGAAATATCCCTACAAACCTTTGACCTCAGCAATGCTGTGGATGATGGGGAAACTCAAAAAGGGAGGAGCTTGTTGGGGAAATTAAGAATTCTCTTCTGGTTTTGTTTTCACGGCCCTGTGTTATATGCTAGCTTAGTTCTCACACAACTCTTCTGTATTTGAATACCTACAATAAAGCCTTCATTTAAACAGTCTTGACATCTTAAACTGCATCATGTACCTGTAGTTTATAGCTTGTTTTTCCCCCCCATTAGCAGAAGACAATTAAAGCATTTTGAGTACAACTGCAGACAATGTTTCTGAAATCCCATGGCAGGTCTTAGTTTGGGGGCATCAGCCAGATGATGCAGAATGTATTTATATTGGCTGCCTTTTATGTTACCATATTATTGAAACCTCTATTTTAAAACATTCTGACAGAGAACTTGGAGACCCCAGAGGTCCTTGG